CAAGGTCCGGGCAAGTGTTGGCGAGGTCCGGGCAAGGTGCTTGTACGGTTTGGCAAGCTCGGACAAGGTCCGGGCAAGTGTTGGCGAGGTCCGGGCAAGGTGCTTGTACGGTTTGGCAAGCTCGGACAAGGTCCGGGCAAGTGTTGGCGAGGACTGGGCAAGGTGCTTGTATGGTTTTGCAAGCTCGGACAAGGTCTGGGCAAGTGTTGGCATGCGCGGGCAAGGTGTACGGTTTTGCAAGCTCGGACAAGGTCTGGGCAAGTGTTGGCATGCGCGGGCAAGGTGCTTGTACAATTTGGTAAGCTCGGACAAGGTCGGGGTAAGTGTTGGCATGGGTGGGCAAGGTTCTTGTACGGTTTGGCATGCTCGGACAAGGTCCAGGCAAGTGTTGGCATGGGTGGGCAAGGTGCTTGTACGGTTTGGCAAGCTCGAACAAGGTCCGCGCAAGTGTTGGCATGCGTGGGCAAGGTGCTTGTACGGTTTTGCAAGCTCGGACAAGGTCCGGGCAAGTGTTGGCACGCGTGGGCAAGGTGCTTGTACGGTTTGGCAAGCTCGGACAAGGTTTAGGCAAGTGTTGGCATGCGTGGGCAAGGTGCTTGTACGATTTGGCAAGCTTGGACAAGGTCCGGGCAAGGTGCTTGTATGGTTTGGCAAGCTTGGGCGAGGTCCGGGCAAGTGTTAGGAGGCTTGGGCAAGGTCCGGGCACTGTTTGGCAAGGTTTGGGCAAGTCCTGGTACAGTTTGACAAGGTTCTGGGACATCCAGCCACGTCCAGGACGGGTCCTGGCACGTCCAGGACTGCCGTGGCACGTCCAGGACTGGTCCAGGACCAGTGCAGGACTGTTCCAGCACAGTCTAAAAATTTCACTCCGGTACCAAAATTAAATCCACTCGTTACATTTGAGTCCTGATGGTTTTATTCACTCCTACTTGACCTCCCTAAATGTTAGGGGGTGCCGCCGCCGGTGCCGCCCGTGGAGCACACACTTTGTGAAATAATAAAAAATTTCAAAAATATTCTATGGTTGTCAAAAAATTATGAAACTTTGCAGGAAGCATCCTTATATGATGCCAAGGAATGCTGCAAAAAATTGCGCAAAAATACAATCTCTAGGTCCCTCAAACGGAGATTGTCATCTCACGAAAAAGTATGTCCGTTCGTGGCACATGGGAAAAGGCTCATTTTGCATATATAGGGGGGCACCCCCAACCCCCCTCCCCATGGCCTTGCTCACACCACCACATGTATGCCCCTCCCAATAGACAAGATCAAGGTGTGAGCAAGTCCATGGGGTGTCCCTCCCTATAACGTCGTCTACCCTCACGGCGGCGGCGGCGGCTGCAGGTGAGATTTTCCGGCGACCCTTAAAATGTGTGAAATTTCAAATGGGATGGATGGATGAGCGTATCTAGGGGTTCTTGGGCCTTCCTTGCACGTTATTCCCATCGAAACTCGAGCGGAAAGGCATCCGTTGGGGCGTTTTCCTCGCGGTTGCTCCGTAAGCGAGGGCTAGGTTAGACTATCGTGTTTGTGAGGCACTCGAAACCTCTTTTGGTAGCCTTTGGATGGTATGTTCCCCCATCCCCCCATTTGAAATCCCATTCATTACCCCTCATGTATAGGATTCCTGTCCTGCGACGATGGCAGACAAGCAACCCAATCGATGTAGCCTTCAGATGTAGCCTTCTGTTGCTTGGCCAAGCTTGAGCACGATTGGAATGCTCCGCATGAGGTGTGGACACGCCGGTTTGGGGTGAAAGTCATTTATTTGGAAAATCTGGGCCTTGGAAGTGTGTGGGATTGCAAATGGGATGGATGGTGGCACGTACCAAGGATTCATGGACCTCCCCAGCATGTGTTTTCCGTCAAAACCTGAGCGGAAAGGCATCCTCACGGTTGATCAATAAGCGAGGGCTAGGTTGGACTCACGTGCTCGTCATTGTCAATCAGAACTTTCTGAGAGGAATCCCTGACACAAAGTTACGAAATGGCATCCGCCAAGGGAAGTTTTCCCACCGGGTGCTTAATAAGCAAGACTGTGGAGGGGTTGATATTCTCGGGCGTTTCGTGCGGCACGTTTGGTGCGCTACCCCATCCCCCCATTTGGAGTCTTATTCACTGCCCCTCATACGGTGTATTCTCCCCTTGTGACGACGGCGGACAAGCAACCCAATCGATGTAGCCTTCGGATGTAGCCTTTTGTTGCTTGGCCAGGCTTGAGCGGGGTTGGAATCCTTCGCATGAGGTGCGTAGGGGCATGTGCTACTTGGTCGCTGAAAGATGCGTTCATGCCTAACGGGCTTGGGCCAGCACCTCCCGTCTCTTCCATTTGCTCGCTTTCCTCGTCTGGGGTTGCGGGGTGTGGTTGCCACGGTGGTGTTGGTCTGGGCAAAACGTGCGGGCGTGTGAGTGGTGTTTCGATTGCCACTGTCGGCTGGCTTCGTGCTTTGTCCATCGAACTGTCGACACGCAATCAGGAATTAAAGTGATATAATTATTTTAATTACCTAAGGACCCCAAAAATTCAAGGAAAAATATGGATACACTCCCTAGGAATATTATGAATTTATAAAATTGTTTCCAAGCATTGGAAAAGCAGAAAATAATTTATGGGGAATTTACTTCCGAATTCCTATCGGTAAAGACCCGATTTTGGAGAAAATGTGAAGTAAATACCTAGAGGTCTTGAAAAATTCCCAAAACTTCCAGATCCAACTTTTGGAATAAATAGAGAATTATCATGAAAATAAATGGAATTTTTGAAGCCCCTAGCTATTTTTCCTAGTAGAGGGCAAGAAATCGGGTATTATGTGACCAAATGAATTTTTAAATTACCCTAATCAATTCCATTGCTTCCTAATCAGTTTTTACCATTTAGTTAGCATCCAACAAGGCCCAAATTCGTGCTCATTATGATCAGAACAGCTGGCTTGTGTGCTGGGCAAATTTTCAACCATTGGATCAACTCTCTTGGAAAGTAAGTCAAAGCATGTGTGGCTAGGATTTGTCCTTCATTTTGGCCGACCTTAGCACTTAATTTGGGGCAGAAATAGCTGCCCAAGGGCAGGTTTTTGGGTAGCAAATGAGCTCTATAAATACCCCCACAAGGCACTCAAAATTCGGACAGAATTGGGACAATAGAGGGGAGGTTCTGCACAACTTTCTTCTTGGCTTCCAAACACTCCTTAAATCACCTCCAATCCAAGGTTTATCATCAAGCTTTAATCCAAGACTCCTTGAGGTATGTTTAGGCTTTAATTTGATGCTTTTTCCTTGGCCAAACCGTGACTTAAAGTGAGGGGGAAGTGCTGTTTATTTCTGTTATGCTGGAAGTGCTAGGAAAGGATAGCAAATTGAGTATGAGCTTGTGTTGTTGATGTATGGTGCTGTTTTGAATGGGTTATGGAAGAAATTACCCTAGGACCTATGAGTATTCAGTTCAGCCAACTCAAGAACTCAAGGGTAGGAATTGTTTCAATAAATTTGAATGGTTCCAATGGATTTAAAATGTGATTTTGTGTTGGATTGTTCACCCACCAATAGGGAACGTGAGCTGGGGTTCAAAATGAAGGTGTGACATTTTTGGTATCAGAGCAAAGGTTCTGGACTATCTTTTAGATGTACTGTTCGATATGGTAATGCATTAGGATAATGCATATTTGATTGTGTGTGATGTGTTATGTCGTGAAAGGTGTGCATTGGACTAACCTTGATATAGGATATGGCTTGTTGTAAGCCCGATTCTCCCGGGGGTACAGTTGATCAGAGAGGGCCAGGGGAACCATACCCGGACTGGTACCACCCACATGTTTCTGACCCTGATGACCCGACTCCACCACCCGGATATTATCAGCCTCTCTGGGAGGTAGAGGATATAATTCCTGAGGTAGACTCCAACGGTAGTAAAAGGTTAGAGGATGATGAAGCCGGGAGTGCAGTAGGGCCTAAATCTAACCCGGATGAAGCGGGCCCCAGTGGGACGAAGCCACAGCCCCTCAGAGTAGTGCACCATGATCAGATCTTAGAGAAGGACCTGCCTCCGAAGAAGAGGCAGCGGTTAGTCACAAAGGAGCTGCACACCTATCAGGCCATTTTTGAGGAGCTCTGTGAGCTGGGGAGGCAGATTGACATCTCCCAGAACCAGTATGGGTACATTTATATGGACTATTTTTACTACGTACGACTACTACATAGTGATATCGCTGACCAGGACGAGGGAGAGATAGATGAGGAGATGTGGGGACAGGCCTTAGTTGACTCTTTGCCAAGGACCCCTGTTTGGCAGGATCAGATCCAGTTGGTCAGTGACCGCTCCAAGCAAGGTGCCTATGGGAGCTTTGATCAGATCCTGGACGAACTGGAGCTTTTTGTTACTTCTTATTTTCCTTTCTCTCCCATGTCTTAAGTGGATGACTGTATATGTGACTTGGATGATCTATGTTTTGGATACTTATACCTGAAACCTATCTATGTACAAATATGAAGCATAGCTTAGTATGAAATATTTTGATGACTAAGTAATAATCTTATTCCTCTGTTCCTCTTGTAGTAACAAGTTAAGTAAAATGGTGAGAACCCGAAGAGAAACACAACCAAGGGAGGCAGCAAGAGAACCTCCTATTGACCCGATTCAATTAGTTATGGACCGACTAGAGGAACAGCAGAAGGTGATGCAAGAAATTCAGGTAGCCCAAGCATGCCAAGACCAGGAACGCGATGCTGCCATAGCAGCCGCAGTGACAGCAGCGATAGCACAGCTGCAACAGGCTGGACCAAGAGTGGCCGAGGCACCACAGCCAGCTCAACCCCAAGAGCCAGCAGTAGAGTAGGTGCGACCTGCAGGGGATCCTGATTCACTAAGACAGTGGATCAAACGATTTAGTGCACAGAATCCTCCGAGCTTCACAGGGACATTGAACGTCCAAGTGGCCGAGGACTGGATTACTCGGTTAGAAAAGATTTTTAATGTACTTGAATGTTCCTCTGAGAGAAAAGCTCAGATGGCTATCTATAAACTGGAGGGCGAAGCTGATCGCTGGTGGAAGAACACCGAGATGATCCTCCAAGAGAATGCAACCCCTATTACCTGGGAAGTGTTCAAGGAACACTATAATTTGAAATACTTCCCACTGTTAGTAAGAGACAAAAAGGAGGTGGAATTTCTGATGATTCAGCAAGGTCCCCGAGAGTCCTTTGATGAGTACCTAGACAGGTACATGAGGCTCTCTCGTTACTCTAACTACCTCCAACTCCGCAATGATGAGTGGTGGAAAACAGAGAAAATGATAAGGGGACTAAGGCAGGAGCTGAGGGAGAAGGTAGCCCCACGACAACTTGAGAAGTTTAATCAGGCAGTGGAAGCCTGCCGGATTACTGAAAGTAGCCTGAACCACCAGGCACTAGTCAGGGCCGCTCCTAGACCAGAAGGACTAGCAACAAGGGGCGGATTAGAGAGGACTTCTTCTGGAGGAAATAGAAAGAGGCGAAAGCCTGTGTTTTCCAAGAAGTTTAAACGAGGAGGAGGAGTAAGGCAAGGAGGAAGCAGCACTACGCGCCAGACCAAGGAATGTAGCAGCTGTGGTAAAAACCACGGAGATCGACCATGTTTGATGGGTCAAAACGTGTGCTTTCGATGCGGCAAGCCTGGACACTATATAAAGGAGTGCCCTCTTAATGTGGATGGCTCGAGGCCCCAAACTCAAGGGAGGGTTTTTGCTCTCACAAGGGAAGAGGCTGATAAGTCGCCTGAGATGATACAAGGTACGATTCAAGTTAACAATTACCTTGTGCATGCTATGTTTGACTCAAGTGCTAGCCACTCCTTTATTGCATATGATTGCGCAAAGCGCATAGGCCTTGATGTTAACACATTATTATATGATCTATGTGTGGCTACTCCTACGGGCACTAAAGTTTATACGTCTGATGTTTGCCTAAATTGTATTGTCCGGTATGCCCATTGTTGCACTACACTTGACCTAATATGTATGCCTTTTCGTGAGATTGACGTGATACTTGGTCTGAATTGGCAGTCTACCCATAATATACTCCTTGACTGTAAGAATAGGACTTTGATTTTTCCTCCCCATGAGTTAACCCCTCATACCGAGGTGAAACTAAACTTGATCACGGGAGCCCAAGCCGGGGATTCCCTAAGACATGGCTGTCAGGGGTACGTGGTATTCTTCTCTGTACATGCAGAAGTGGAAGAAGGCATAACAGAGATACCCGTGGTATGTGATTTTCCGGAAGTCTTTCCGATGGAAATTAGCGGGTTACCTCGAGAGCGAGAGGTAGAGTTTGCAATTGACCTAATACCTGGAGCAGGACCGATTTCCAAAGCCCCTTATCGTATGGCTCCAAATGAAATGGCAGAATTAAAGAAGCAGTTAGAGGAGCTATTAGAAAAGAATTTTATTCGGCCCAGTGTGTCACCATGGGAAGCACCCATCTTGTTCGTCCGTAAGAAGGACGGTAGCCTAAGGTTGTGCATTGATTACCGGGAGCTCAACAAAGTGACGATTAAAAACAAGTACCCACTACCTCGAATAGACGATTTGTTAGATCAATTAGCTGGTGCCACAGTGTTTTCCAAGATTGACTTGAGATCAGGTTACCATCAACTGAGGATTAAAGCAGAGGACATTCCAAAGACTGCTTTCCGAACACGGTATGGGCACTACGAGTTCTTGGTAATGCCCTTCAGATTAACGAATGCCCCTGCGATTTTCATGGATTACATGAACAGGATCTTTCAGCCATATCTAGATTAGTTTGTGGTGGTTTTCATTGATGATATCTTAGTATATTCCAAGTCACTAGCGGAACACGAACAGCATTTACGGATCGTTCTAAGTATTTTTGAAGGAGAAACAGCTATATGCCAAACTCAGCAAGTGCGAGTTTTGGCTGAATGAAGTAAAGTTCTTGGGTCATGTGATTGCCCAAGATGGAGTAGCAGTGGATCCCAGTAAGGTGGAAGCAGTTCTAAACTGGGAGCAACCAAAAATAGTAACAGAAATACGAAGCTTTCTGGGATTGGCAGGTTACTATAGAAGATTTATTAAGGATTTTTCAAGAATTGCACAGCCCCTGACTAAACTTACACGTAAGAACCAGCAATTCGTGTGGGATGATAAATGTGAGGCTAGCTTCCAAGAGCTGAAACGAAGGTTGACCTCAACCCCTGTGCTGATAATTCCCGATCCAACCCTACCGTATGTTGTATATACCGATGCTAGCAAGCAAGGATTAGGGTGTGTATTAATGCAGCAAGGACGAGTAGTCGCCTATGCCTCACGACAGTTAAAGTCTCATGAAGAGAATTATCCCACTCATGACCTAGAATTAGCTGCAATAGTTTATGCCTTAAAAATCTGGAGGCATTATCTATATGGGGCAACCCTTGAACTATATTGTGATCATAAAAGTCTCAAGTACCTGCAGGATCAAAAAGAACTAAACATGAGGCAACGACGATGGATGGAGTTGCTCAAGGATTATGATTACCAGATAAAATACCATCTAGGCAAGGCTAATATGGTAGCTGACGCCTTAAGCCGAAAGGTAGTACAAGTAGCATTCCTAATGATTCAGGAACGAAAACTCATCGAAGATGTGAAGGATTGGGAACCTTTGTTCCATATGAAACTAATGACCCAGAAAGTAGAAGTGACAAGAGCAGAAGCCCAACTGATAGAGCAAATCAAAGAGGCCCAGAAGAGCGATCCGATAGCTGATACACTTCGGATTAAGCTAACAAAAGCTGAGGATGAAGCGATCGAGGTGTCACCAGATGGAATATTGAAGTATAAGAAACGGGTATATGTTCCAGAGTCCATCAGGCAACAACTATTGGAGGAGGCACATAAGAGCAAATATAGATACATCCGGGAATGACGAAGATGTACCAGGACCTCTGACGTATGTTTTGGTGGCCTGGCATGAAAAAGGACATAACAGAGTATGTATCTAAATGCCTTACTTGCCAGAAGGTCAAAACGGAGCATCAGAGACCGTCAGGGCTTTTACATCCTCTAAATATTCCGGAATGGAAATGGGATAGTATCTCCATGGATTTCATCATGGGGTTACCCCGTACCTCATCTAGATATGACGCGATATGGGTGATTATTGACCGATTAACGAAGTTTGCCCATTTTTTGGCAATAAAGAAAGATTACCAACCAGAAAAACTTGCCAAGTTATATATAAGAGAAATTGTGAGATTACATGGAGTGTCAGAGTCGATTGTATCTGATCGAGATCCTTGGTTTCTATCCCGATTCTGGAAGGCACTGCAGCAAGCAATGGGCACTAAGCTGAGCTTCAGTACAGCATATCACCCACAAACAGACGGTCAGACAGAGCGAACCATACAGACACTGGAAGATATGTTGAGAGCCTGTGTATTGGATTTTAAAGGTAACTGGGATGACTATCTGCCGTTAGCAGAATTTGCTTACAATAAAGTTATCACTCCAGTATACAGATGGCTCCATATAAGCTTTGTATGGTTGCAAGTGCAGATCCCCACTGTGTTGGACAGAATTAGGGGAGCGACAGCTATATGGGCCAGACCTAGTCGAGCAAACAACTGAGAGGATAAGGTCGATTAGACAGAAACTGCTCACGGCCCAAAGCAGACAAAAAAAGTTATGCGGACGTTCGACGAAAGTCTTTAACCTTTGATATAGGAGACCATGTGTTCTTGAAAGTGTCTCCGACAACGGGAGTAGGAAGGTCTTTGAAATCAAAGAAATTGTCACCAAAATACATCAGACCTTTCCAGATTCTATCAAAAGTAGGACCGGTGGCATATAAAGTGGCCCTACCCCCGAATCTTAGTCAGATACATGATGTCTTCCATGTATCCCAGTTAAAGAAGTATCAGCCAGATCCCTCTCATGTTTTGGAATATGAAGATATCGCACTACGAGATGACCTAACCTGGGAGATCAAACCAGTAAAGATCATTGATCGTCAAGTAAAGCAACTGCGGCAGAAATCCATCCCAATCATTAAAGTCATATGGGAGAATCTGGCACAAGAAGAAGCAACTTGGGAGAAGGAAGACGACATGAAAGATAATTATCCCGAACTCTTCGAATAAGGTACATTTTAAATTTCGAGGACGAAATTTATTTTAAGGGGGAGGGAAATGTAACGTCCCAAAATTTAGAACCCTAGTAATGGGAATGTGAGAAATGAGATATGATTGATAAGCATAAGGTATGAGTAAAGCATGGAAACCTAAAATGGGACGAAACTGACTTTATCGGATCCCTAGGGGCAAAATGGTAATTTTGAGAAAAGTTCTCAAAAATTCCCTAAAAATAGAAAAGGTGGAATTAGAGGTTTTTGAGTCACCTATGATGTTTTGGGAGTGAGAATGGCCCAAAATAAATTTTGGTGAAAATTCCCAAAAAATTAATTATTTTTGGGAAAATAGGGAAAAATAAAGGGGAATTAAAGTGATATAATTATTTTAATTACCTAAGGACCCCAAAAATTCAAGGAAAAATATGGATACACTCCCTAGGAATATTTATGAATTTATAAAATTGTTTCCAAGCATTGGAAAAGCAGAAAATAATTTATGGGGAATTTACTTCCGAATTCCTATCGGTAAAGACCCGATTTTGGAGAAAATGTGAAATAAATACCTAGAGGTCTTGAAAAATTCCCAAAACTTCCAGATCCCACTTTTGGAATAAATAGAGAATTATCATGAAAATAAATGGAATTTTTGAAGCCCCTAGCTATTTTTCCTAGTAGAGGGCAAGAAATCGGGTATTATGTGACCAAATGAATTTTTAAATTACCCTAATCAATTCCATTGCTTCCTAATCAGTTTTTACCATTTAGTTAGCATCCAACAAGGCCCAAATTCGTGCTCATTATGATCAGAACAGCTGGCTTGTGTGCTGGGCAAATTTTCAACCATTGGATCAACTCTCTTGGAAAGTAAGTCAAAGCATGTGTGGCTAGGATTTGTCCTTCATTTTGGCCGACCTTAGCACTTAATTTGGGGCAGAAATAGCTGCCCAAGGGCAGGTTTTTGGGTAGCAAATGAGCTCTATAAATACCCCCACAAGGCACTCAAAATTCGAACAGAATTGGGACAATAGAGGGGAGGTTCTGCACAACTTTCTTCTTGGCTTCCAAACACTCCTTAAATCACCTCCAATCCAAGGTTTATCATCAAGCTTTAATCCAAGACTCCTTGAGGTATGTTTAGGCTTTAATTTGATGCTTTTTCCTTGGCCAAACCGTGACTTAAAGTGAGGGGGAAGTGCTGTTTATTTCTGTTATGCTGGAAGTGCTAGGAAAGGATAGCAAATTGAGTATGAGCTTGTGTTGTTGATGTATGGTGCTGTTTTGAATGGGTTATGGAAGAAATTACCCTAGGACCTATGAGTATTCAGTTTAGCCAACTCAAGAACTCAAGGGTAGGAATTGTTTCAATAAATTTGAATGGTTCCAATGGATTTAAAATGTGATTTTGTGTTGGATTGTTCACCCACCAATAGGGAACGTGAGCTGGGGTTCAAAATGAAGGTGTGACACTTTGCATATTTTTATATCACCTCTATCGTTGATTTCTCTGATGAGATGAAATCGCCTAAGTATATGCTTGGTCCTTTGATGTGACCTAGGCTCTTTGGCCTGTGCAATGGCACCGCTGTTGTCACAGAACAAAGTTATTGGATCTGAGATGGTAGGTATCACCCCAAGTTCAGTAATGAACTTCCTAATCCAAACGGCTTCCTTAGCTGCATCAGATGCTGCTATATACTCAGCTTCCGTTGTAGAATCCGCTATAGTGCCCTACTAGAGCTCTTCCAGCTTACTGCTCCATTATTCAGGAGGAATATATATCCCAATTGTGATTTACTGTCGTCCTGGTCAGTTTGGAAACTTGCATCTGTGTAACCAGTTACATAGAGCTCATCATCCAATCCACCATAGACCAAGAATAAGTCCTTAGTCCTTCTTAAGTACTTAAGGATATTCTTGACAGCAGTCCAATGGCCCTCACCAGGGTCCTGTTGATATCTGCTAGTCATACTTAAGGCAAACGAGACATCCGGTCGAGTACATAACATGGCGTACATGATAGATCCTATGGCCGAGGCATATGGAACCTTACTCATGCAACCTCGCTGATCAGGTGTACTAGGACACAAATCCTTACTGAGGTGAATACCATGAGACATGGGTATGAAACCCCTCTTTGATTCCTGCATACTGAACCTATGCAGTATTTTGCCTATGTATGTGCTCTGACTTAGTCCTAGAAGTCTTTTAGATCTGTCTCTATAGATCCTAATTCCTAGGATGTAGGTGGCTTCACCCAAGTCTTTCATTGAGAAAGACTTTCCTAACCAAGACTTGACAATCTCCAAGGTAGGAATGTCATTCCCAATAAGTAGGATGTCATCGACATAGAGTACCAAAAACACAAATGTGCTCCCACTAACCTTCTTGTACACACAAGGTTCATCAACATTTTAAAGAAATCCAAACCCTTTGACTACTTCATCAAAACGATGATTCCAACTCCGAGATGCTTGCTTTAATCCATAAATGGACTTTTGAAGCTTGCACACCTTACCAGAGTCCTCGAAACGCACAAACCCTTCAGGTTGTGTCATGTACACATCCTCAAGTAGCTTTCCATTAAGGAATGCTGTCATGACATCCATCTGCCATATTTCATAGTCATAATATGCTACAATGGCAAGGAGGATTCTGATTGACTTGGCCATTGCAACCGGAGAAAAAGTCTCATCATAGTCTACACCATGAGTTTGAGTAAATCCTTTTGCAACCAGTCGTGCCTTGTAGACATTTACATTGCCATCCATGTCAGTTTTCTCCTTAAAAACCCACTTGCACTCGACGGTTTTTACACCTTCAGGCGGGTCGACTAAGGTCCAATCCTGATTGTCGTACATGGATTGCATCTCAGACTTCATGGCATTAAGCCATTTTTCAGAGTTTGGTCCCACTATAGCCTCTTGATAGGTAGTCGGCTCATTATGCTCAATGAGCAACACATCACGATTGTCAGAAATTAGAAATCCATATCTCTGAGGCAGAAACCGTGCCCTATTAGATCTCCGTGGACCTTGCGTGACTTGAGGAGTCTCAACAACTTGTTGTGAGTTATCTCCGATTTCCACCTGTAGGTCTGTGGTGTCTTGTGGCTCTCGAACTTTTGAGATGTACCTTGCTCCCACCGGTTCTTTTAGAGATAAATTCTCATTTGAGAAAGATACCATTTCTGACAACAAACACTTTGTTATCGGTGGGGTTGTAGACATAGTATCCCTTGGTTTCCTTAGGATATATCCCACAAAAAGGCACTTTGAGGATTTGGGCGCTAATTTATCTGAGGCTTGTTGCTTAACATAGACCTCACATCCCCAAATCTTGAGAAAAAACAAACTAGGTTTTCTCCCAGTCCATATCTCATAGGGAGTCTTTTCAACTGCCTTAGATGGAACACGATTCAGTGTGAACGCAGCTGTCTCTAGGGCATGGCCCCAAAAGGACGGTGGAAGATTTGTTCGACTCATCATGGATCGAACCATATCTAATAGTGTTCGATTCCTCCATTCAGAATGCCATTCCATTGTGGTGTTCCTGGAGGAGTCAATTGTGAGACTATCCCATAACTCCTAAGATGATCAATGAACTCTTGGCTCAAATATTCACCACCCCGATCAGATCGAAGGGCTTTAATTGTTTTGCCAAGCTGGTTTTGTACTTCATTTTGAAATATCTTGAACATTTCAAAAGACTCGGATTTATGTTTCATCAGATAGATGTACCCATATCTGCTAAAATCATCTATGAATGTGATGAAGTACGAATAACCTCCTCTGGCATTT